CCCCCCCATAAGCAGATTCTGAGAATGGTGAATTTGACAAGTACATTAACAGTGTTGTAGGGAGATTTTCTGCGCCTAATAAATGAAGGAGAAGATGCAAAGGAAGAAGGCTGAAAAATACTTATTGTAATATCTCTCTCCGCTCTTTCTTCCCTGGAGCTAATCCGCGCATCGCGTCGGTACATAATATTATTCACACAAATGTAGTACGTAATATTTTGCACACAATATTTTTCGCGCAGATACGTAATTTTAAAATACTCACCCATGGACACGTTTTTTGTCTCTCATATGGCTAATCACATAACTGGTGTGCTTTCGTAACTTATGACAAATTAAAAAATAACCAATTGACATTCGACAATTTTTTATCCAGTCGATTATTATGTGGGAATTTGAAATTGTAAAAGTACATAGTCGCACACATTACAAAACATCTCATGCAGCCTATAAAATTTGGATACATTTCGTGTGGGATATAAGAGATCCAGTGTAACGACCCGACAGCTCGTTTTGAGCTCTAGCACGTTGTTCAGCAGTCAGAGGCCATGAGCAGCTTCATTTCAGGTATTATGACTTGTACGCGCGGTTGGAATCGAATTTCGGGAAGTTCAGAGTTGATTTGGAAAGAGAATTCTCATTTCGGAAGCTTAAAGTTGAAAGAATTAACTAAGATTGGATTTTTGAGTAAACGACCTCAGAATCGGGATTTGAAGGTTCCAGCAGGTTCGTATGATGATTTCGGACTTGGGCGTATGTCAGGATCGGGTTTTAGAAGACCCGGGAATGTTTTGGCGCCTATTGTGGAAGCTAGCATTTTGGAAGAAATTTCATAAGCTTGGCTTGAAGTGCATTTCAGTGTTATCGATGTCCGTTTGGGATTCCGAGTCTGGGAATAGCTCCGTATGGTGATTCTGGAGTTGGAAGCGCGATCGGAAGTGAATTCGGAGGTCCGTGGGTCATTTTGAAATCATTTGGCTAAAGATAGAAATTTGAAGGTTTTTGAGAAGTTTGACCGGAAGTGGACTTTTTGATATCGGGGTCGTAATCCGATTCCGAAAGTTGGAGTGGGTCCGTAATGTCGAATATGACTTGTCTGCAAAATTTGAGGTCAATCGGACGTGATTTGATAGGTTTAAGCATCGAAAGTAGAAGTTTGAAATTCTAAAGTTCATAAAGCTTGGATTGGAGGTTGATTCATGATTTTAGTGCTGTTTGATGTGGCTTGAGGCCTCGAGCAAGTTCGTAATGTGTTTTGGGACTAGTTGGTATGATTGGTTGGGGTCCCGGGGGCCTCGGGTGGATTCCGGGTGGTATCCGAATCAAATTTGGGTAAAAAGCTGCTGCTGGTTGCTGGTATCTGGTTTCCTTCTTCGCGATCACGAAGGGAGTCTCGCGAACGCGAAGAGGAATGTGGGAGCTGCTGGATTTGGCCTTCGCGAACGCGAAGAGGAAGTCGCGAACGCGAAGGGGAGGGCGGAGCTGCTATGCGAACGCGGGGGAGAGATCGCGAACGCGTAGAAGGAAAACTGGGCCTGGGGTTATTGGCCTACGCGAACGCGAGGCCTGGTACGCGAACGCGAAGGGGCTGGGTAACTGGCCTTCGCGAACGCGAGCGACAGGACGCGAACGCGAAGAAGGGCGGACCTGGGCTGGGCAGAATGTTTAAAATCGGGATTTGAGTGCATTTCACCCATTTTTTCTCTTGGCTTAGGCGATTTTTGGAGCTTTTGAAGAGGGGGTTCCATCATTCATCATGAGGTAAGTAATTTATGCTAGTTTTGAGTTAAATACAAGGTTTATATATGGATTTACATGGAAATTTGTAGAAAACTTGGGGTTTGAGGGGAAACCTAGAAAATTAGTGCTCTTGGATTTTGACCACGATTTTAAGTATGGAATTAGGAGAAAATCATATATTTGAGTTCGTGAGTTCATGGGTAAACTTTGTCTTCGAAAAATTTAGGAATCCGGGCACGTGGGCCCGAGGGCATTTTTGTCAACTTTCCGATCGGGGTTAGGAATTGTTATAAATTGGATTAATATGGGAAGTTTATCGTATATTAACGGATTTGCATAATCATTGGCTAGTTTTGGAGCGTTGTGCATCAATTTGAGTCTTCGGAAGGGCGTGTAATGCCGGTTATGGATCTTCGGAGCGAGGTGAGTCTCCTTTCTAACCTTGTAAGAGGGAATTGTCCCCATAGGTGAAATAATTGGTTATGTGCTCCTATTTGTGGGGGCTACGTACGCACGAGGTGACGAGAGTCCGTGCGTAGCTACTATTATGTTATTGTCCGGGTAGTCTAGGACCCAAAAGTATGTTGTACTTGGAATAATTGTAATGTTGTTTACAGTTGAATTGCCTAAATCCTGTCGATTTGCTAAATAAGTTTCAAAAAGGATTAAACTTCTTTTCTTAAATTGTTAAAAGAGAAAGTGGCTTTTATTGAATAAATACTCCCCGATAAATTCTTAATTGGCTATCTGAGCATGTATTTCTATGTGTTCCTGCGTCGCATGTATGATTCGCGAGCAGGGTGATTATTTATTTTATGTTGACCGCGTCGCATGGATAGTTCGCGAGCGGGGTAATAGATGCATCTATGGTTCGCGCCATTCGACCCTCGGCAGTGCACAGTTTATTTTCTGTTGGAGCGGGCCGTACGTACCACAGTGTTAATTGCGCATGCTTGTATTGCTGCCTTGAACTTATTGAAGTTGTTATTGCCTCTTCATGGCTTAAGAATATTTGGATAAATAATGAAAAGGAATTTTGAGGAAAACTTCCTATAAAAGAAATAATTGTTTACTTGTTTCCTCCTATTGGATTAAAAATCATGTTTATAAGAGTCCACGATTTAATGAATTATTGACATCATTATTGGACCATTAGTAAGTGTAGAAGTTGACCATCTCGTCTCTACTTCTTCGAGATTAGACGGGATACTCATTGAGTACACGTTGTTTTCGTACTCATACTACACTTCTGTGCATTTTTGTTGCACAGGTATATTTAACTCTAGTGGCCTACTGAGCGTAGCAGCACGGATGATTCGGGGAACTAGGTGAGTTCATTATTCGAGGCGGCCCGCAGCTAGTATAGTCCCTTCTAGTATATTGTATTTACTTTCTGTCCACTGTATTCCGGACGGATGTTGTATTATATTATTTCTTAGAAATTGCTCATGCCTTTGTGACACCGGGTTCTGGGAATGGTTTTGAAATATTTTGTATTAATTGTTTGTTATTTAATTTGAATTGAAGTAGTTGTCTCTTTACTTATCAAATTAGAAGGAAAAATCTGGGTTTTCAAAAATGGTCTAAATTGGAATCTAATTGAGTATTCTAGTTGGCTTGCCTGACAGCAGTGTCCGGCGCCATCACGACCCTTAGCGGATTTTGGATCGTGACAACATGATATCAGAGCACTAGGTTCCCGTAGGTCTCACGAGTCATGAGCAAGTCTAGTAGAGTCTCGCGGATCGGTACGGAGACGCCTGTACTTATCCTCGGGAGGCTACAGGGCTGTTAGGAGTACTTCCCTTCTTGATTCCTCGTCGTGCGATTTGATTCCTTGAGGCTTAGGCCCTTGTTTCCTTCCTACTCAATCTTACGCAACGCGAACCACTTGTTATAAA